ATGATACTGTTTATTCACTTGCTTAGCTCTAGTAAAAGTTGCTTTCTGTATCTGAGAGCTCCTAATATTTAGAATTGTTACGTCATTTTGCTGAATCACTCCCTTTAGCATTGTATTAATATAATGACCTTATTTGTCTTTCTTTACCTTTGTTGGCTTTAAGTCAATTTTATCTGATATTATAATGGCTACACCTGCTCTCTTTTGATTTCTATTGCGTGGAATATTTTCTTACCTCATTTCATGTTAAGTTCTGTGTGCTTCCTTATGATTTAAATGTGTTTCCTACAGATGTAAGATATTTGTGTTATATTTTCTCATCCATTGAGTCAGTCTATATCTTTTGGGAGGAGCATTCAGTCAGTTATTAATTGATTGCATTGGTATGTGGGATATTGGTCTATTAATACTTTTAGATAGGCCCTATTCCTTTGTTTTACCTCTTCTTCAATTGTTTTATAAGAAATGAGTTTGAGGTTTTGTTTTTTGGTTAGGTGATCTTACATGTGTTGATATCTGTTGTGCTGATTTGTTAACAGTGCTGTTCTAAACATTTTTTGCAAGAAAGGTCTGGTCATGGCAAATTCCTTCCATATTTGCTTGTCTGGAAAATACTTATTTCTCCATAGATTGTGAATCTTAGCTTTGCAAGCTACAGAGTTGTAGGTTGGCAGTTGTGTTCTGTTTGAGTCAATTGAAGATGTGTAAGGTTCTTCTGAGAAGTCTATAGTTGGCCCGATTGGTTTTTCTTTGTAGATTGTTGTAGATTGTTGGCTTGCTTTCACTTTGACCTTCACCAGATTGATTATTATGTGTCTTGGAGATGACTTGTTTGCTATGAATCTTCATGGTGTTTAATGTCTATCTTATATCTGAATGTTTGAATTTCTGGCAATACCATGGGAGTTTTTCTCAAATAGGTTTTTTATACTTTTATCTCTTTCTTCTTATCCCACAGGGATACCTATAACTCAAATGTTATTTCACTTCAAATAGTTCCATATCTCTCTCAATTATGGTTTGACTTTTTAATATTCTTTTCTGCCTCTTTGAATGACTGGGTTATCTTAAGAGCCTTCTCTTCAAGCTATGGGATTCTTCTCCTTGGTTTATCCTGTTGTGAGTGCTTTGCTGTGCTTTGAAATTCCCTAAATTATTCTTTTAATTATTTATGTTCTATTATATCCTTTCACATGTTGTCTAGCTCTCTAGTGACTTTTTAATTTTTTGCATTGATCTCCAGAATTTTATTGTTTGTTCCTCTGTTTGGTTTTCAACTGTCTCTTCAATTCCAGTTGTCTTATTTGGCATCCATAATTTGAATTCTATTTTTGTCTTTTCAACAATTTCTTCGAGTGGGTCCATAGTGTTCCCTTGAAGGTGTAGAACTGTTTTGTTTTTTTCATGTTGCCAAGGTTCTTTTGCTGGTTTCTTCTCTTCTGGCTCCTTGTTCTTCTTTGGCTTTGGGTTAATAGGATTGCAGGGCATCTGTTTTCCTTTGCTGGGGAGTATCTTGAACCAAGTCCAGGAGTGATATCTGCTTAGGACTGTGCAGCCCTGTGTGATGTGTTGGACCTCATGTAGCTTCCCCCAGCCCAGTAGTAATGGTGGAGACTCTGGGTGGAGTACTGGGATCCAGTCACAACTCTTGAGTCTCAGGAATAGAGTTGCAGGCCCAGTGGTGGCTGTGGACTTGTGCACAGGAAGAGCTTCAAATTTTGCTCTGGAGCTTTAAGGGGCAGGGCCATCCATATAGGGGGCTGTTCCACTAGCACTGGAAGTACTGATGCCCAGTTGTATAGGCATAGGTTTGTCTCAGTGGCCCAGGGTACATATAGGTGGTCCAGGGCTGTTGACCAGCCAAGGTTTTCCCTCTATACCCAGGATCCAATAAGGCCATAACACATGCTTCCTAATAGGTGCCTGTGGCATTCTGTGCTCCTCTCCTTTTCAGCTTCTACATCAGGGAGGAAGGATGCTCGGCCCCCAGTCATACATAGGGTATGATGTGGGGGAATGTCAGTTTCCTCCTGGCATAGTGGGGTGAAGCAAATCTACTGCTAGAAGGCTGGGTCCTGAGTAGACATTCTCCTTGCACCACAGTGATTAGGATTGTATTGGTTACAGAAATGTGAGATTGATGGGCACCAGACCTCTGCTGCACCTACTTTCCAATCAGCTCAGAGGTCTGATTTCAAAGAGCTTTGGGAGGAAAGATTCTGAATAAATAAAAAGAATGATCTTCCCTCCTCACCTCCATGGCAGAAAAAATATTGTTCCAGAAATGAATGGGAAGAGCTTAGTTGCAGGATCACTCTACTCTGTGCCTAAGAAAACTCTGTGATATGAGGGTCTCCCTGAACATGAGGTAGGGAAGGAAAGATTAAAGGGGAGTGAGATGCCTTGGTGTAGGTATCTCCCAAAATAGATTCTGGACACCAAGAGAAATATGTCCAACTTAGTGTTTTATCTTCTTATATAATATGCCAAGCACTATTTCAAAACCATACCAAAGAGAAAACTATGCTATGAAGTGGGACTTTGTATTATTTCATACACACATGTGTATGTGAACACAAACATATATGTGATCATTAAATAAAGTTGTTTTCAAGAGCAAAGCTATAACATATATGTGATTAATAATTATTCTAAGAAAAAAATGCATTAGAGGCAAGTGATGCTAGGATAGTCATAGGTCTGAGTCAGGTCAATAATAAATCTCTCTATAAGGGATTTCCATACAGTGCTTTTATTAGCATAGAGAAAAGAGCAGATTGTAGAGAGCATCAGAACCATGGAAGGAAATGGTGTCTTTTCAACTTCACCTAGTTTTTTTTTTTTTGGTCCTTAGTTAAAGGTTTCTTTTTTATATAATTAAAGTATTGATAGAAATCATCTGTGAAAACCAATGGAATCTCCTTCTTAAATCCTGCTTGTTAATAAGTTTATAGGTCAGCCACGTTAGTTCCAATGAACTATAATTCCAAGAGAGTTAAGATGTAAAATATAAGGACTGAGTATGTATCATAGACTTTTACTTATGAATTATTATAAAATAAATTCTCAGAGAGCCAGAAAATAATCATCTCTAATTCAATAAGCAAATTAGTTAAAATATTTGTTCCCTCAGTGAAAATAGAAAAATAAGACTAAAATTTATATTTGTGGATATTTGTGTATGAGTATATAGAAAGAGAGAGAGAGGCTGAGGGATAGTGGCTCATACCTGTAATTCCAGCACTTGGTGAGACTTGAGGCCAGGAATTCAAAACCAGCCTGAGCAACATAGTGAGGTCCTGTCTCTACAAAAAATAAGAAAATATTAGCAGAGCATGGTGATGAGTCTCTATATTCCCAAGAGGCTCAGGAGGCTGAGCCCTGGATTTTGAGGCTATGATCATGTCATTGCTCTTCAGCATCTATATAGTTTCAAGTAGTATTTTTAAAAAAATCTGGACATCTCTTAATTTATAAATGATTATGTTTAAAAATTCCAAATTTTATCTTTCAAATACTAGTGGAATTGATATTTCATTACCTACCTATGAATCAGCCGTGGCGGATTTTAACTGTAGGCCTGTTCTTCCTCATTTGTGTTCTTATGACTTCTGTTCTCTGAGAGTCAATAGGGTAGCCTGAGAGATACAACCTGATTTCAGTATCAAATTCCAGAGAAAATGAGCTTTACATTTTTGGATCTTAGTATATGGATTGTCCTCAATTCTGTGCCCCCCTCCACAGCATGTATGAGCAAAAGTTGACTCCAGTACCACTAAGGAAATTGTCAGACATTTATACCCAGTGACATGTTGGGTGCATATTTTCCTTTGTTTTTACTTATTTGAAATATGTCAGTGTTCACAATGGCCATACATGCACCTGAGAAATCGTCTGTGGCATTTATGTGTAATTTAAGGCTGATTTATTCCTAATTCTTACCTCATGTTTCATGTATGATGTTAGTGCTGTGGTGGAAACTAAAATCCTGCATCAGACCTCCTGGTAGCACTGTTTGAGTCCTTTTATTTAGGCATATTTACAAATATATCAATTTTACTTCAGGTATTATTTGCTTTGATAAGACAAGTAACTTGACTTTTGAAAAGATATTTACAAAATCTCCGTAATGGGAGTTTTGATTTCTAACTTGACTCTAGATTATGGTTCTGAAAATAAAGCTCTGTGCAGGACATAGGAAAGTCTTTTAGGGGTGGGACACAGTTATAAAAGAGACTTTACCCAACAACTGCAATCAATATAACCTGGTTCTTTGTACCCTCCATGAATCCCCAACAAGTAAAAAAAGAAAAATCTTTCTCTTGCTCTGATGATCAGTGTAGGCTATCGAGGACATGTGTTATTAAAACATATATAAAATAAAATAAAATAAATGAAGTAAAATGAGCAAGCCAGGTGGCCTGACTACATTTCCAGGTGTGTCATTTTCTGTGGAAGGGATGATTCACTGCAGTAACTAGATGCGTGAGTTCTGTTTGAATTTATCTTTTATTCTCTCTTAAAATATTTTGAAAGGCAATTCATGAAGAAATGCTCATTCTGAAAAAAAATCCAAAGTTCCTTGCTTCTATTTGGGGCTAAATTTTAAAACATATATGTCAAATTGGATACAATTCTGATTGTGCAAGCAGTTAAGTTCAAAAAACAATGTTAGCAATGTTTAATAATAAGGAAAATTCACCAGGGTATCTGTACACTGTGCTTATTTTTCCTATAAAAATACAGAACTATTCACAGATGCCCATGCAGATGTGGTTTTAATTTCCTCTCCACCTGATACCATTGGCTCTTATTAGGAGGCTTCTAATCACCTTGGATAGATATTTCTTGCAATGATGCATGGTCCGCACTGCATGCTGTCCTTGTGCTTCCTGCCATTAGGGGATAACGTGTCTTATTTGGAAATACAGTGATAATTTCTGTTAGATCACGCTCAGTCAGCTTACATAATAACACTTATATTTTGTGAATCATTTCAGATTTCAGAGAGCTACGCCTTCCTACCACGAGAAGCGGTGACACGATTTCTAATGAGCTGCTCAGAGTGCCAGAAAAGAATGCATTTAAACCCCGATGGAACAGATCATAAAGGTAGCCGCGGTGTCAAATAGGGAGATTTAAAGTAATTTCATTCCTAATGGCAATTTATATATCATATTTTTATAATAACGTCGTCGACCGAAAGAGTTCAACAAGTCAGATCATCTCATCTATTCAAGTAGGAGGCAGTGAAGTTTGAATATCCACTTACATAGTCACGCAGCGCCCATTCTGAAAAGAAAGACAGTTTCAGCTGTGGCAAATGACATTTTCCCCCTATAGTAATGTTTTAATTTCCATTTATTATATGTATGTCATGCTATTTTAGATATATGCAGCAAGAAAATTGGTTTCTACCAATATCCTTTTAAATCTAATCATTTCTTGTTTCTAAAAATCATGACTAATGTGCCCCTCCTTCACTAAAACTTTTCATAGAAAAGTTCTAATTTGGCTTTAGCTTTCATTAAGATTATCTAGATTATTTTCCCAAGTGTGAATTTCTCTCAGATATCATACTAATCTCAGAGATGTATAGAGGCCAGCCCATTCCTGTGTGTTGGAAGATGTGTGGCCTGGCCAAAAAAAAAAAAAAAAAAAAAAAAAGAGGAAAATTTCTTTAGCCCTCAGGAAGTACATATAGAAATTAATTCTGTAGCCAAGGAGAAAACTACAAGTAATTGGGTTTAATTGTTGTATTAGCTTTAATCATTTTTATTCAGGATCTTTAAAATCTCCTTTGCATTTAAAAATGATGTATCCATACTGTTAATATGTGTCAATATTCTTTTTGAAATCTTATCAGTTATTTGTCCTACAGTCTATCTGTGATGCAACTAAATTTTTGGACACATGGTATCTAGAATCCTATTTCAATTGGGACAAAGTGGATCATTCTGAAATTATAGGTAGAATGCAGTATTATTTTCATTACCCACTAAAATGTCTTATTACAGATAATGGAAAACCTCCCACTTTGGTGACCAGCATGATTGACTACAACATGCCGATTACCATGGCCTACATGAAGCACATGAAACTGCAGCTGCTGAACTCACAGCAGGACGAGGTACGGCACACACGTCCATGCTTTTATCACTTGCAAATTGCAGTGAAGTTGGATAACTATGAACAGCATATTAAGCATGATGGAGTATTGAAGGCAGTAATTTGTGTTTTAATGAGTGTCACCAGGGTTGCACAGAAGTGGGCAGTGAACAGGGACTCCTAGTCCACGACACAAAATCTCTGTATCTCAGTGTAGTGTCCGACTGTGTCCATTCCCAAGGAAGATTCATTTTCCTTAGTAGACCAACATTGAGCTAGCCTTGATATAGTGCTAGAAAGTTCAGTGGAAAAAATTCAGAGTAAGGTACTCCAAATAAGTGAATTTCCAAGGAAATTTAAGTACTAACGTGATTTTTCCTTTATAGATCTAATAGGTATTTCAAGGATAATCATTTCTAGACTGTGCAAATCTTGCATGTATTTTAACATTATTTTTTAGGTTAATCACTACTCTATATATTTGCCTATTTACTTTTTTGCATTTTCTGGCGACAATTTATGATGATTCTTCTTAAATGAAGATATTGTGACATTTCAAATGATTCTATTTAATTTGCATAATGAGAATCTAGCAATGTATAAGGTACTAAATGCATATTTTTTTAATATCCTTTAGAATTCTAGTTAGCTACGCATTTTGGTTGAAGTATTTCAAAAGGAAGGACAAGTTATATATGTGCCCTGTTTATATTTTACAAAAGATAAAACAATAGCAGATATACTATACGTGCTTAGTAAATTTTTATTAACTAGATAGTAGCCATTAATTAATAGAAATATTCAGGTTATCTCTATTTGAAGCAGGTCCTTCGTTTAAGAGATTACCTCTTTAAAATTCTTCTAGGACAGAAAATTTGGTTCAATGTGTATTTTTCAAATGTAAAATTATTTATTTACTAAGGTATAATTGCATTCTTTTAAAATTACTTTGTTTAGCTAATTTGCTTCATAAAATTCAAATCAAAGTTTAGGTGTTTTTTTTTTTTTCTGTATTTAAACAGGATTTGACCTAAAGCTTTATTTATAAAATTGTTTGACTTCAACAAACTTTATTCAGGATAAACTCCATTTTAAAAATCCATATTAATTCAGTAACAGTATCAGATTACATATTGCCAGATGGCTACATATAAATAATTGAATAAATAGTAATAAAATCATTGGGTTAAAGACATCAAAACAAGAAAATATCAGTTTGTCCATCCCTGAGAGTGAAAAGAATTTATTTCCATGATTCATTATATAATTGAAAAAAAATATGATGTCTCATAAACTAGTTAGAGCTGTCAGATTTTTTAGGAAGCTCATTCAGATGTTGATATGTGTATTTCTGGGCCAAAATGTAGGAAGATCGACTTTGTGCCAGCAATGCAACCCACATATGCTGATCCATCCTGGCTTCTAAAAAATCATAATTATTTTACACAAAAGAAATTAGATCTTTTCAAATTTGTTACTAGATTGGGAAAATCATTTATATGAAAAAAAACCCTAAATTGGATGTATACCACCTTAGAATATTTAGATAAATGACTAGATTATTTATAAAAATTTTTAGAGTATCTCCTGTGTGTCTTATACTCATGCAAAAAAGCAATGAATAAACTGAGAACAAACCTATCTTTGTGAAGCTTAGAGGGAGGGGAACATACAATAAAATAATGGATGTAGGTACATAAGAAGACACTAAATGCTGTTGAGAGAAGTGAATAAGGCCAGGGATGGCACTTTCTTTAGAACTAGGGACCATATTTTTAAAAGGCTTCCTGGGATTTCTGTCAATTATACAGAAATGAAATATGTGTATGTACACATACAGGGATATGTATGAGTATGTATATATTGGGCATATACCACAAGGTTCCTGAGGTAGGTGCATATTTGGTAGCTGTAGGAATAGGAAGATAGTCAGCGTGGTTGGAGCAGAATGAACAAGGTAGAGGAAATAGAAGAGTTTGGAGAGAGTGGAAATCCAGGTTATGTCGGGCCTTCTATTTTAAGAGTCTTTAAATTTTACTCTGAGTAATATGGAGAGCTATTAGATTGTGGTTCTGAGCTATTAGATTGAGGTTCTGAGCAGAGAAAGCATATGATGTGATCTATATTTGAATATAATTATGTGGCCTGAGAATAGAATGAAGAGGAGAAAAGTGGATACAGAGGCGCTGGTAGAAGGTTACTGCAGAAATCAATGTGGATGAAGAGCTAACAGAGCTCTTTCCCTTTCTGCATAAGGCTTCGGCCTGTCAGGAAATTTTTAACTTTGTTCTCCCTTAAAACTGACTAAATTGATGACAACTGTGTGACTAGACAACATAGCTAATGACCAAAATGATCCCAACTGGTGAACACTATCAAAAGACAGAAATGCATGGTAAGCATCTTCAGAGGTGTGAGTTGGATGATTCTTACAATTGGCATGTCCCTTGGGGAACTGAAATCCCGACCCGTGGCATCATAAGAGATTCTGTTTCGGGGCGTGGAGCTTCTGTGCAGGGTTCCCAACTTACCTTATATGAACATTCTTTTCTTAACACCTGTGCTATCACATGGAGTGATAAGGAAAATGGGGCTAGTTAACCAGGTTAACTAGAATGGTACATGACTCTTTCTCCAAGGAAGAGAAAAACCGAATGTTGATAGGGTTCTAAGCTGTTTACTGCTCAATGAATCGGATGCCAGGGATGGTCAGTGGCAGGCTTGTGAGTAAACATTTCCTTGAAGGATGTTTCAGGTTATAGGAAAGAGGACAATAGTGGCTTGGATCAGAAGGATACTAGTTAAGGCAGTAAAGAGAGATGAGATAATGACTATATTTTAAAATTTATTGACAGGTTGGCGATGGAGTGTGTAAGGAAGTCAAGAGCCAATCATGATTCTGAGGTTTTTAATTTGAGCAAGCGGGGTAGAATTTCTATTAGCTAAATTTCTATTTCTATTTTTTCTATGGGAAAAATCTCTACCCAGAATAGATTTGAGGTATGATGTTAGAATTTCAACTATAAGCTCTTGATTAGAAATCCCAGTAGATTTGAGAGATTTATTAGACATTCAAGTATATTTCTCAACCGAATGGTTGGCATGTAAAATTGATAGCAAAGAACTCAGCTGGACATAAGACTATAGGCAGGTAGCATGAAAAGCTACGTACTGGAGGGTATTATTGAAGTAGTGACTATAAATTGAGGAACAATGCCCAATGACCTCAATTTAGAAAATTCCAATGTTATCACATCTGGAAGATAAAGAGGAATAAATAACAGATACCAAGAAAGAGTAGCCAGTGTGTTAGCAGGAAAATCAGGAGAGTTTGTGAACTCAAAAGGAAGTCTAACGTAAGTTTTCACGGAGCCCAGTGTAATATAGTGTGTCAAATCAGGTTGTAAGTCAATTAAAAAGGAGACTGAAAGTTAAATTTGTATTTAGCCTTGTCAGAGTTAATGCTGTTCTTGACAAGAGTAGTTAGTAGTTGTGGGGTGGTAAGGACAGAAACCTGTTTGGTGTGAGTACGAGACAGAGTTGTAGGCAGAAAGGTATAGGGAAGGGAGCAGAGAACTGGGCGTAGCTGGAGGGAAGACGGAGACAGTAGGAGTTTTTTATATTTATGTTTCTAATATCAAATATCAGAAATGATAGCGTATTTTCACATGGATGAGAGTCATACAGCAGAGGTAAATAACGGATGCAGTGAAAAGGAAGAATAATTGATAAATCAATATCCTTGGCATGAGTAGGGAGGATTTCTTGTGTGAAATTGAAAGGGTTGGCTTCAGAATAGTCACATCCAGGAGGGCTGAAGCCTCCTGCCCGTGGTGGAGGTTGGGGAAGGGTTCTTCTGTTGGTTCCTTCCTCCTCAGGGGAAAAAAATAAGTGAGACTGAGAATGTTTGAGAAGGTATTGGACGTTTCAACATAAGGTGTGAGGAGTAGAAATCTAGACAGTAGGGAACACATACACCACGATAATGGGTTTCTCTTGAGTTTCATGGCATTACATTTAAGGCGAAATTTAAAACCGGTGAAATCATTTAAATGATTGCTTATCTCCATATTCACTTTTTGGAAACAGATCAATATAAAGGCTATGTGTGGCCCCAAAGAGGAAGTGTAGATGGTTTTTAGTTATCGATTTCTGTGTAGCACTCTCAAAACGTAGTGGAAATAATAACACAACATTTCTTATTTCTCCTTATTCAGTGGGTTAAGAATTCAGAAAAGACTCTCTGGGGTGTTTCTCTTGTTATTTCTGGCATAACCTAGTATCACTTCCTTGGTTACATTGCAGACTGCATCGTCCAAGAAAATGTCACTGACCCATCTGGCTCCTCGATGCTCCTTTCCATGACCCCTCACTCTCTCTGCCTCTTAGAGTAGTCAGATGTCTTGTAAGGCAGTTGGCTTCCAGGACACAGGAAGCAGCCGGAGCATCACTTCTGCCACATTCTATTGATCAAAGCAAATAACAAAGCCACCAAGGGAAGGAGGACATAAATACTGCCTGTTGATCTGTGGAGTGGCATGCGTGTACAGGGAGGAAAGGAACTGATGGCAGCCATCTTTGGAAATTAGCTTCTGTAATGGTCAATAACCATGAGAAATTACAGAAGGAATATATGCATTTGATTTCATTAAAACTCTTTATAGATGTGACAGTTGGTATTCTTAAAAAGGCATAGAAATATGAAAAGTGAGTTATATTTCATAGGTAATGATGGGGGATAATATTTCAAATATTCTTAATCATTAAGCTACTTTTGATAAATCCTTTAAATGATGATGCTTTCCTTATATTAAAAAAAAAACTTAACAGCACATTTGGCTACATAAACATTTTAATCTCTGGTCCAAACTATTTAAAAAGTGTGCTGAGAAGAGTATCATTTAGTGGTTATGTATACTGACTATTCATAAGATGCCATAGCAGTTTGTACAACCACTTCACAGACCTGGGATCATCATATTTAGTGTTTCTTTAACTATATGTACACAAAAACTCATATTCTCACATACATATGTTTTACATACATGGATTTATATATGCCATAAAAATGATATTTTACTGCATTACACGAAGTTAGCTATTTGTGATATCTATAACAAATGTTTATAGAGACTATGTTTTTATGTGGAACTAATTTAGAAACACGCTGGTCACCTTTACCATTATACTTAAATTTATTGTATATGTTTGTATAATAAATGTGCATCTTGTTATATACCATGTAATTTGTTGTATATTCTGCATAGCAATATCAAGCTGTGACATGCTTATTATTTTTTACATTGTTCTACTTCAAATATATTACACACACTCAATCCTCATTCCACTCTATGATGTTGGTACTATCATTATTCCCACTGTAGGAGTAAAGAAACTGAGATACAGAAATATCAGGTAACTTGCTTCAGGTAACACACCTATTCTCATAAGTGTCAGAGCACGGATCTGAATCTGGGAAGTCTGGCTTCTGAGAATGTTCTTTAAAACCTTATGAAGTCACAGACACTACAGATAGTATACATAATAGGTATCTATATCACCTGTGTGGGAATATGTATAGGATATGTATTTATGTATGGCACACTGGTAACATTGAAGACTCTTAGTTTTTTCCATATACACACACACATACTCATTTATATATGGGAATATGTATTTTCAGATACATTGGGTTTTCTTGGAATTTAGATTTGAAGAAAGTGTAAGGTACAGAGAGAAGGGCATGCCACCCGGAGAAGTCTACGTGCTGATTGCTCAGCGGTCGGGTAGGGAGGCATTTTCTTGCTGAATTAATGAAGAGTTAGCGCTGCTCCGTACACCCAGCTATGACCAGACCTCTGATCAAAGAAGGGCCCCACAACCCTTTGGACCTGACTCAGGGATCAGAATGCCAATCTGTTAGTCCACCAGAACACTTGGGTCCCCCAGCCATAGCAACTTTCATCTTGACAGTAAGATGTCATTTATGACACTTTTCTATTTAGATAAGCAGTTTTCTCAGGGCTGGGTGACTTCAGATGAATCCCAGTTCTGTCGTAATTAATAATCAGGGAGATTATTTCACTTCTCTGGGTCTCAATTTCTTCATCTGTGAAAGTAAATGACTACTAGTATCTGACTGCTACGTTATAATGAAGAGCACATGAGTAAACAGATGTAGAGAACAGGGTCTTCAACAGAAACAGCAGCACAGCTCCAGCGGCTACTAATTATCATGTTAGTGTTAATTCTTATTTTAGTGGTGAACTTTCAGATCAAATATTTACCAATAAAATCGAATGCGGTGATTTTGATTGAACATTGACACGTTAGCCTGGTTTCTCAGGTCTTCTTGCTGAATAAATACACAATTTATTAAAAAACCAAGTTTCTCAAAAGGAGTTTACTTCGATGAAATGTCTGTGGCAAAATACCATAGACGCGGTTCAAGTTAATATTTGACAGGTTTTGATGAATTGGCCGCTTGGCAAATGGCCTTTGGGTAATTTACCCATTTTGTGAAGTGACGTTTAGTAAATGGATCTTGCACAGTTTTATCTAGAACTCCTTTTTACAGTGCAATCCTACTCACCTGTCAGGAAAGCAAGGGTGTACTAAGATGACCTTTCTCTCCATCATATGCTGACTTTGAATCTACACATTAGTCTGTCTATTATTGGAATCTATCTTGTTTGCCAATGAAAAACATTTTTAGAACATCTTTCTTGCTGCATTCTAAGATTTTGCTTATTAACATTTTATTAGGTCCTTTAATTTTTAATCAAAACTTTTCACGTTATATTTTTAATCAAAACTCTTTATGTTTTGAGACTGACTCTTTCTGGAGGTATTTGCTATTACTGTAACATCCATTCTTTCATTGTTAAGGCTAATTTCCAAGCTCAGTTCTCTGTAGAGATAATCTTTACCTTTAAAAGCTATGTGTACTTGGTGGTGCCTGTGGCTCAGTGAGTAGGGCACCGGCCCTATATGCTGAGGGTGGCAGGTTCAAACCTAGCCCTGGCCAAACTGCAACAAAAATATAGCCAGACATTGTGGTGGGTGCCTGTAGTCCCAGCTTCTTGGGAGGCTGAGGCAAGAGAATTGCCTAAGCCTAAGAGCTGGAGGTTGTTGTGAGCTGTGACGCTATCGTACTCTACCCTGGGTGATAAAGTGAGACTCTGTCTCTAAAAAAAAAAAAAATTAAAATTAAAAATTAAAAAAAGCTATGTGTACATAGATACATTGATTGAATATTCACAAGTCTTAAAATTCCTCGAAGGGAGAAATGATTTCATTATTTTTTATTCCAAACATCTATTGCTATGTAACGTGTTTTACTGAGTTCTGTAAAAACTTGCTTACTACCTAAACTCTAATGGACCCTATACATAAAACGGTCCTTATTTGAATGTATTATATTTTATGATGCTTGATGATATTTTAAAACCATTTTCAGGATGAAAGTTCAATAGAAAGTGATGAATTTGACATGAGCGATTCAACACGGATGTCAGCCGTGAACTCTGATCTCAGCTCCAACCTGGAGGAAAGAATGCAGAGTCCTCAGACTCTTCATGGCCAGCAAGATGGTAAGCCTTTCAGCTTGAACAAACAAATAAATGAGACAATAAAACTATGATGAGTCAGAATCTGTTGAAATGGCAATCAGGTATTACTTCTTGTCCCCATTGTTTATCTGTTTCTGTTGAGACCTTTCTCTTTGTACTCAGGTTGTATCATCACCTTATCGTATCTGGATTCAAGTGCTGTGTTCAGAAACAACGTGTTAGACTGATGTATAAATGGATTTTCTTATTTCAGAGTATTCTGGGGTTATACATGTTTTGGTTACGTAATTTGCTTTTTCCCTTCATCATGAAAGTGTGCACTGTACCCTTCAGGTCTGAATTTACCCAGCCCCTCCTTTCCCCTACTTGATTTCTGTTGAGTTTTACTCCCACACGTGCATATAAGTGTTGAGCTACCGTGTTTCCCTGAAAATAAGACACTGTCTTATATTTATTTTTTCTCTGGAACACACACTAGGGCTGGGTCTTCCTTTCTTATATTTATTTTTTCTCAGGAAGACACACTAGGGATGTCTTCCTTTCCGCACCGAAATGCATGGCGTGGCTAGGCAGCGTATCTAGCCCATCACTATGTCTTATTATTGGGGTCAGACTTATATTTAACAAATGCATGGAAATCTTGCTAGGGCTTATTTTTTGGGTAGGTCTTATTTTCGAGGAAACATGGTACTAGTCACGTGTATGAGTAATAAAATCTAAACTTACTCATGTTTTGCTCCCTGAGCTTAAAATTTGTGTTATATCAATGTAATTTGTGTTTCTGTGATAATATTTCCCAGCTTTGGTTTCTTGAGCTATCATTCTTGTGACTGACCTAAGAGTTTGTGATCAAAAGATGACTTTGTGTGTTTTTATTTATATCATCTTCCTTAAAAGACGAGTTGTAAATAAAAATCAACAGGTATTAAAGGACAATATTACCAGAGTGATTTTTGATAGGTAAGAGGATATTTTTCTGTAACTTTGAGGAACTTTATGGAGCTCTTAAGAAAAAGTGATCATAAGCTCTTATTTCTAACTTTGTTGAAGATTCCTGAATTACCCACTGGTTTTGATGGGAGGAAAGTTGGATATATGTAGAATGGTTGTGGTAGTTAACATTTTAAATGTAGTATTTTCAGAAGTCTTTGGATATTTTTGTATTTGTAAATATAAAATTATGATTACAAGTACATATGCCTTAGTTGGGTAATTTTGGATAAAAATTAAGGATTATAAATAAAAGGAAATTGGCCAATTTTATTCAAAATTAGTTTATTGTATCTGTAATCAGCTAGTTGACAAGAACTGTTGACTGTACAGTGTTGTGCCTACATCTGTTGGCAGGGGAAAGAAATCTTTCCTTGCTTTTTTGACAATTGCTATCTAAAACTGGTTGCAAAAGATCATTGTATTTCCATTTGCTATTTGTGTTCTGTTTATGTTGTCAAGGCTTCAGAAATCCCTAGCTTTAAGTGTATAAAAAAATTGGGGGTACTTCTCTTTTTCTCATTTCAGAAGAGTCTAAACGATGTTGGTATCCTTGTTGGGTTGAATTAAGAGAAAAGAAGTAAAGCATTATCAGTACCTTGAATGTTGCATTTCACTTGCTTCATTGTGGAATAGCTATGGTAATGGAAAGGGCATTTATTCAGGAATGCAATAAAAAATGAACTTCTTCTAATTTAGATATAAATGATCTTTTCTAAAACATGAGTAGAAAATCCTCAGATTTTTTAATGATAATTGTATGGCATAAGAATCACAAAATAATCAAAATGATTTTGGTAATAATATATCACTTTATTAATTTATGTGTTTATATATTTTACCTGTTTATAACCTCATCACTTTTAGTCTGTAATTTTTGAGAATATAGGTATAGGAGGATGTCCCATCATGAAAATTTCTTGTTATCTTAATTGGAATTGCCAATTATGGATCTTTGGTTAGAGCACAGCTGTTGTGATCTAAATCTGTATTGATTTTTATAAAATGCAGTGGAATAACTTCATATATTACTTACTCTCAGGGCAAGGTGCTTTCTCATGCTGTATTGATGTGTGCTTTGAGAATAATGACTTATCTAGCGTCCCTTCTCCAACATACTCACATTCATCATTGATTTTTTTTCTTTCTGCTTCAACAGTTTTCCCTCATCCTAGTGGGCTATTAATATTAGCATACAAACATAATGTAATAAATATCTTCTTTATAAAGCCTCCATTAATCCTGTCTTAATCCATTTGTGGTGGTATAAGAAAATGCCTGAGACTGGGTACTTTAGAAAGAGAATAAATTTATTTCTTGCAGTTCTGGAGCCCAAGATCTGTGGGGTCCAAGATCTAGGCATCAGCAGGATCATGTTCAATGTCTAGTGAGAGCCTGGTCTCCACTTCTAGAATGACACCATTTTCTACATCCTTGGGAGGGGAGAAACTGTGTCCTTTCATGATGGAAGGGGCACAGGGATGAATAAGGGCTGAAATCCCACTGACCAATACTTTTATAAGAGCACCTAATCCCATTCAGGAGAGTGGAACTCCCTGAGTCGATCACATCCTAAAAGCCGTACCTCTTATTAAGGTTGCATTAGGAATTAAATCTCAGCATGACTTTTGGGGAGCACAAAACATCCCAAACATAGCAGATCCCATCCTGTCCCTCCATTCATTGTCCCATTTCTTTGCAACCACCTCTGCCATGTACTTTACAGTAAAACTCTTTGGAAGTGTTGTCTCACCATTTCCACTTCCT